GGAATAGAACTAGAAACATCTGAAAGCAAAGATAAGTTATAAGGCGCATTAAATGATGCAGAATTATTGTTTGATGAACTAGAAATGGAAAAGTGAGATGCCTCAATGGGGTTATTTGTGAATTGCAGAGATTTACGAGAGGTAGACTGGTTGTGATTGAAATCGGAAATCTTTGCTTGATTTGAAGTTTCAATTAACGCAGTGGAAAAGTCATGAGAACCATTTTCACTTCCTGACACTTTATCTATATTGTTTTGATTCGATAGCTTACTTTGATCTTGAAGCACTGTTTGGTTGTGTGGTTGCTCTTTATTTGAAGACTCTAAGTTAATATCAACATCATTATCAATTNAACTAGAAGAAAAATTGTCGGTTAAATTTTTTGAAATTGATTCCAATTCAATACTTGGAGAGTCCAAAATCTTTGAAGTTTTGGATGGCTGGGTGGCCAGTTCATNAGATTGATTAAATCCTTGCAGTAAAGAACCGTCAAAGTTTTTTTCACTTTTTGAATTTGAGAAATTACTTTGCAAGTCTAAGATTTTGAGATTGGAGTTTGTGGGATTGTCATCTAGCTCAAGCGCATACTTTCTTCCTCTTCTNAGATTTTAGTAATTTCCCAGAACCACCAACACCAGTAGTATTTGCAGTTGCAATGATATCATCTTGTGATTGGTTTGACAAGGGATTGGATAGTTTTGTATCTAGAGTCACTGCATTAGAAGCAGGGCAGAAGACGTTTAAAAAGTTTTCATCCAAATCACTTAATGAAACTGTATCCATCATTCCCAAAGTGCAACAGATAAAAGTTGCAATATTTGATTTTCTTAGAGCAGTTTCAATGATATCTTCTTTACCTCTTAAAATGGAGGGTGCGACATTTCCAGGCTTCCAAAATCCGGGCAAGACATCATGAACAGTTAAAAAGGGATTGCTTTGAGAGTAAATTGTTTTAATTAAATCAAACAACCGGGATAAATCAATAAATGTTGCACCTAAAGGCGTGGTTTCCTTTTTAAAAACGATTTCCAAAAGCTTAAAAAAGGAAGTCGAAATGATTACACGAAGAATTTGAGTTGATAGATTATCTAGAATTGGAATTGTATTGATGTTTAATTGCAAGTTAGGAGGTAAGCCAGATGGAGCAATTAATGGTAAGGGCAAACCACCCAATTGAGCTTGAGCTTGTGAGATTGGAGGTAGATTGAAAAAAGAGGATGAGTTATATTTGTCGATTATCGAGGTTGCCATTTTTGATTTCAACAAAGCTCGAATGTTCAAGGGTTTTTTATAATGGTTTTCATCATCTTTGTCATTATTTGAATTCTTTTTATTCTTTCTTTCATCAATCTGGTTGGTATGGGAGCTAGAGTTTACCTTGGTGTGTATCTCACTAGTAACATCCACAGGTTTATTGTTTTGATCAATTGGAGTTCGTTCAGTATGAATTTTTATTTCCTGATTGTCATTTGCCCTGTCATTGTTAGAATGATTTAAATCAGCTCTCCTAGCTTCAGGACTCTCGGCTTCAGCAGTTTGAAGCTCCACATCTTCAGTTTCAGAAAATTGGGCTTCAACACTTTCAACTTCATGACCCTGGCCTTTATTTGGAACGATAGTTTTTATTTTGTCATTCTGATTGCAAAGGTGATGGATCTTTTGCCTTTTCGGAGCTTGGTCATTGGCATTTAATGGTTCAACCAACGCCGGAGCAGTTCGAGCATTGAAATTGGCTCTTTTTTTTGAAGTAGTCTGCTCAGATTCCATAAATGATTATGAGATTGAATTATTGAACTTTCTGTCTAATAAAGCCCTAGGTCTTCAACAGTCAAAAAGAGTGAGGAGTGAACAAAAATTGTAACAAAAGAAACCGGGCACGTGAGACCTCTCGGCATTTGAGACTGAAAAGTCAGGTGATTGGTGTGATTGAAAGCAGAGTTTCTGTTTCCGGTAATTTTGACGCGCTCTCTTTGAGGGAAGGTGCTTTTGGTGCTTCATGAAGGTGGTTTAGTGGTAGAGATACAATCTCTCTTTGATTTCGTCCACTATCCACTTGATTCCCTCTTCGATATTAGCACCAGTGTAGGCTGAACATGGTAGTAGCTTGTAGTTGTGGTTTTTAATCTGTTTCAACTGCAACGACTCCTCAATTAGATGGCATATCTCGTCCACTCTACTGCTGTCGTTTCCCTCTAGCAAATCAGTTTTGTTTACCAAGATCAACAAGTTCGACCCAATCAATCTGTCTTCCTTCAATACCTTCTCGAACTCAACAAAATTCTCCTGCATCCTTTCCATTGATAGAATATCCACAACCCAAATCAACGAGTCTGTTTTCTCAAAGTAGTTAAACCAAAAGGGCCTGAGCGTCGACTGGCCCCCAACATCCCAAACATTCAACCTGAAGCTGTCTTTTGAGTCTGGATCAATATATTCCAATGTGTCGATCTGGAATCCCATTGTAGGAGATATCTCTGAAATGTTTTGGTTCAAAAGCTTCTTCACAATTGTAGTTTTGCCAGCATTGTCGAGGCCTCTACAGTACAACCCCAGTTTGTTAGTCTCTCAATTCTCTCTACCCACATTGCACTATGTAACCGAAGCAAAACAACATACAGCATCAAGATTCGAATCTCCTTATCTTTAAGCTTTTGCTTTCTGATGATGGACAATAGACCCATTTTGAATGTCGTCGCTATCCAGTTGTTTTGTCACTTCAAGTCACCTCCTTTCAAGACTCTAGAGTCCCTCTCCGTCTTTCGCTTTGTTCAACTCCAAAATGACCCAAAACTTGTTTTGCAAATATGAATTAAAGCTTTGTAAACTGAAGATAGATTATGGTAATACAAAAAATAAAGAAAACAACTAAAACCAATAAAAGTCGTATTGAAAAATCATCAAAATCTAATAATCATACTAAAGGATTTAGGCAAACATCAAAGAAACCACAAGTTGCACCTCAGTCTACGAATTTATTTAATATCAAGAGTTCGAATATCAAAGTTGCTGACGAGGAAATTAATTTCATTGAATACAATAACATTCAAATTCAAAAATACAAAACAAAAACACTTGAAAATCATGATTCTAATTATCAAGTAGACCTTATTGCGTTACCAGAAAAAAATCAAAACTTAGCTCCAATAGTCATCAAGATTGATTCAGATTCAGGTTCAGAAGTAGAGGTTATCGAGCATTCAAATCAAAATCATAATCCATTTTTTGATATTTTTAAAGATGACTGCTTCAAAATATCTGATTATAAAGCAAAGGAAACCTCTAATTTTGATTTTCTTTTGGAAGAACGAAAGAATAAGATACTAAAAAACAAACCTAAATTACAAAAAGCTCTTATCCTTCCAAATCAAAACACTGACAACCATCTAAACAATGAGTTAGATGATTCTTACTCTTCAACCTCGAAAAAAAATGATGGAACTTTATTAATTGAAGTATATAATTCCAAGCTGAAATTGAATCCCTTGACTTCTGCTCTCAAAAAGCAGCCAGTATCCAACAAATCGGTTGCAAAAGAAGATATATTTCTGAGTGATAAAAAAAAACTGCAGGATTTTTTAGATATCGAAATAACTGATTCTTCTAAAATATCTTTGGTTTCGAGCGTAGGTGAAAATTCATCCAAATCCTTAAACCAAGAACACTTCTCATCTATGAAAAGATCAAAAAGATCAAAAAGACCAATCCCTTGGTTCAAAATATTAACCTTTAATAAGCAAAAGTTAAACAATATTGAAAATCCACAAGGCTTCAAGAACAATGGTAATGAACAAACTCTTGATAACACTGAAGAGATCAAGACCTGTGGAAATTATAAAGTTGCTGTGGATTCGTTTTGCTACGCTGAACATAAAGTTATTTCAAAATATTTTTTATCTCATTTTCATGCAGATCATTATATGGGCTTGACAAAAAATTTATCTAACTGTATCTATTCAAAAGGACTAATATATTGCACCGGAATTACTAAGAAATTGATTATTGCAAAGTTTAATATAACAGAACCAGAAAGAATAATATCTGTTCCATTTTATAAAAAATTTGAAATTTATCCAAACCTCATTTTTACATTTTTGCCTGCTAATCATTGTCCTGGATCAGCTATAATAGTATTTGAATATTACCATGGATCAAATTTAGCTCAGGTTTATAGAGTCTTACACACAGGAGACTTTAGAGCTAATAAAAAACTACTTCAATATTTAATGGAAAAATTTAATAGTTTTGAAAAAGTTTATCTAGACACTACTTACTTAAATCCAAATTTTTTTTTTCCCGATCAGGAATTAGTTGTTAAAGAATGTGGTGATTTTGTTGACAAAGTAGTGAATTGCAATTTATTTTCAAATGAAATTCAGCAAAAAAAGATAACCGACTTTACTCTTGTATCATATCCACTCTTGAAACCCGAATCCCAAGTTAAAAAAAATTACTTGGTTGTTATTGGATCATATACAATAGGAAAAGAAAGGTTGGCTATCGAAATATGTAAGCGGATTGGTTCTAAATTATATGTAAATCCATATAAAAGAAAAATTTTAAAGACTTTTATTGATGATTGTGAGTTTAAAGGTAATGTGGATAATTTCAAGCTTGAGTTGAGCACCGATCCCTTCAATTGCCAAGTTCATTTAATACCAATGCAAATTCTTAATTACCATGAGCTAATGAAATACTACAAGTCCTATGAGAGTACTTTTGAAAAGTTAATAGCCTTTCATCCTACCGGCTGGAATTTTGGAAATAAATTTAAGCAAATAGACCCAACTTCTTCTTTGAAAGAAATATTAAATAAAACCATCACTCAGAAGGTCTCCTTTGGAATTGAGCATTTTAGGAAACAATTTAATTCTAATAGAGTTATTCAGTTGTACAAAATCCCTTACTCGGAACATTCAAGCTTTCGAGAATTGACGTTTTTTTCTATTTTGTTGAATATTAGGAAAATAATACCAACTGTGAATCTTCATAATGACCAGACAATTCGTGAAATGGATCAGTGGATCAAAGAATGGAAAATCATACATAAATCATTTATATATTCAATTGATGATTTTTAGATACTAGATTTGATCCAATGAACTAAATCAGGAAAGCAATGTTTTTATTGAACTCAATTTTTTTTTTTCTGGGTTCGTATTTTTAGTTCATCGACACACTTCTCAATAAATGCATGAATCAAGAAACAATATTTTCTGTTTCATAGGTTATTTTAGATTTGTTAATAATCAAATCTAGGATTATCAATTAAACTTTTCAGTTCAATTAATAATCTTTTCTTTACCAAGCTATGGTTGAAAATTTTCTACACTTATTTTTATCGGCCAGCTTTAAAGTCTTAAACGTTCCCTGTTTCCAATCATAACTGTGTCTTTTATTCTGAAATTTCCATTATAAAAGAAATATGCTTCTAAATGGTTTGGTTTTGGTGTTTGTGATGGAACTGTTTGGAAATAACCGATGACGCATACCCAGGAAAGCACAGTAGTGTGCTTTGATTTAGACTATAAATAAGTCTTTTGTGTGCAGTATTGGGATAAATCTCTTGATTGCGTGCAGAAAATATTCTTACAAATTAGAGTATAGAACATTTTGTAAATTTGTTAATTGAGGTACAAAAAATATACTTTTGAAAAATATGTCAAATTAGAAACAAACAGAAAAACCATCTTTTTTCAAATAAAATAGAACTTAAAAAGATAAAAGGCGTTAAAATATTGAGAAATTCATTACTTTTTTAGAAACAAGGTGGTTTGACCACCAAAACTGGAGATACAGCAATTCGATTACCAGTTACCATTACCATTACCATTTCCGTTACCATTTCCATTACCATTGTTACCTCCAGCGCCATTACCATTACCATTATTATTACCGTTGTTATTACCATTGTTACCACCTGGACCATTATAATTTCCGTTGTTATTTCCGTTATCATTACCATTATTGCCTCCAGCACCATTAGCATTACCATTGGAGTTACCATTATTGTTACCATTGTAACCACCAGCTCCATTGTAGTTACCATTGTAGTTACCGTTGTTGTTACCATTATATCCAGAATAGCCCCAGTAGCCACCATTAGCATTTCCATTGTTATTACCGTTGTCATTTCCGTTATTGCCACCTGGTCCATTGGCATTACCATTCGAGTTACCATTATTGTTACCATTGTAACCACTATAACCACCATAGTAGTCACTATATTTTCCATTGTAATTTCCATTGTAATTTCCATTGTAATTGCCATTGTTTCCACCAGCACCATTTTCGTTACCATTTTGATTACCGTTATTTTTTCCGTTACCTGTTTCTGGTGTAGGTTCAAGGCAGTCTGTAGTTTGCGAAGGTTGTTCATCTTCAACGCAGTAAATCAAGATCATGGGGCCACCACAATGTAGAGCTTCATTGAATTCTTGGGAATATTTGAGCCAAACATCGCAAAAGCCACAAGCCCTACACTTTGAGATATCATCGGATAAGTTTGGATAAGGAGTTTCAGTTGGACAGCCAGAATCGCAGAATTGATCATTAGGAACTGTCTGGTATCGTTCATAAAGCTTGTCACATACTGACCAATTACAGGTGGAAGTAACAGTTGAGTCAGCCTCATCATCTGATGAAGCAATTGGGGCAGATTTTGCAAGAAGGAAAATTTGCAGAAAAATGAATAATGAAGATTTGATAAACATTGTCAAAATAAAACTAAAGTGTTGGTAAAAGTTCTATCGCAGATATTGATTGTAAGCAAACATTTGCCAGATATTTATACGGTGTGACAGATTATTCTTCAACAACTGCTTCTATTTTTGCAAATTTGCTGAGCATCTAAATTTAACAGATATTGTCCCCTGAAGATGTCAATATTCTCAATATTATTGTCCTAAACAAATTGGTAAGACAGCAATATTTTTCTGTGCTCAACAAATTTCTAAGTCTATAGGAAACCATAAGCAGTTAGAACTCCATGATTGTCAAGTTCAACTGGGGAAAAAAAGCACTATTTACGAGCAAGAACTAAGAAAAAAGCCTTCATGATTACTCATAGTTCTTACTTTTACTGTAGACGTAATGGCCCTTTTCTCCATGGAGAAGAGTGGTATCAAACACCCAAAAGTTTATTCGCATTTCTATTTTTGGTCCAAATAGACAATTGGATAAAAACATCAAATAGGAACCGGATTCTTTCAGGACAAAGTGATGCTGGAGTTAATAATAAAAACAATTTCATTACGAGGAGATTTACATCAGTGATTACGTCTGATACTCACGTTATAACTCTGCCATTTTTATTTTAAGATTGCTGTCCAATAAAATTGGAAGGAAACAATACGATTAAGCCAACTTCAAACTCATTTCGTATTCTTTGGGATGTTTATTTATAGGTGAACAAAAAATAAAAAGTAATTATGTATCCAAGTAGAAGTGCTTTTTATGTTTGGACGACAAACTGGAAACAAAACCAAAAGTATATTGAAGGCCTATTGTAGAACAAGATGCTTTAACCAATTGAGCTAAAAACAATCGAATTACAAATAATGTTGAAGAAAATATTCACTGAAAGGGATAGGTCCCAAATAATTGGATGGTTTACATTTGAAAAAATGTATTATAGCCAGCATTTAGTATTTTTACATCACTTTATAATGGAAGGGAGCTTTAGCTATAAAGAAAAATATCATTAAAACGGCTAAGATTACTTTAGAGGTAATATTTCAAATTATCAATAAATTGCAACTTACGTTGCATAAAACAAAAAGCTACAACAATAATTATAAATAATGATAGATAATTATAAATATAAAATAAACAACTTCAAGCATTAATAATATTTAAGATACCAGGAATATATGAAAGGCTTGTGTTCGATAGAAAGAGAAATACCAATAAATCTAGATTAAGACAAGAATTTCGTTCGTGGAGAGAAATGTCGATAAAATTGTTTTAAAATTGTTTCTTGCTTGGTTTTATAAAGATTCTTAGAATATATCAATATCCTTCTATTGATAATTTTACCAATTCCCACTTATGTTTTTCTGAGTGGGTTCTTTTAAATCCGTCCATTCAATAAAAAATATTTATCAATTACATGGTGAAGAATTAAAATATAAAATCATTTTTAAAAATTATTTTGAAGCCATTCATTATTTGCAGTTTGTTTAGTGATCTTTGAGCAAATAGAGCTAGCTTCTGTGTCTACGATACGATGATAATTATGTGTATCAGTTTCTCGTGCTACAAAATCAATTATCTTAATCTCATTCTCGTTATTAATCATTAAATTACACAGTTACAAAGTTTTAAATTATGATAGAAAAAAAAATATGTTCAGGATCGAAACGTTATCATCTTCTATCCATTCCAGTACTTGTTTAGTCATTCTATTTCAATTTCCTCCTTTCCTTCAAAAACATTCAATCATAATTCCAATTGATTTTGTACCACAAATTGGTTTTAAATCTTAAAAGATAATAGATGTTCACGCTGTTGAATTCTTTCTTTTAGCAATAAACAACTACATTAGGTTTCTTCTAAAAGTTCGAAAATCGATACGATATTCCTCATGTCATTAAGTCTCCTCTTCATGGCTTTGTTTTTGCAAAAAAAACCACGAAAATTGATTATGGAAATTTCAAGTGTTTTATTGAAAGTTCTATGAAATTTACCAAAATGTCATTTAAAAAAATTAAAAAAAATCAATATAATGAATGCAGGAACCGGTATAAGGATGTATTGAAAGTTATCTGGAGAAGACTTTTGAAAGAAGTTCTAAATAACAGATATTAATCAAATATGATCTCCGAGTGAAAGTTGGAAACTTTGGAAAACATTACAAAGACCAGTAACTCAATAAAAATTTTTTTGATTCATCTTAGCCTGGGCTTTCTTATGAAGTAACAAGTCTAAGTCAGGACTACAAACTCACTCGTGTTGCAAGGCAGTCGGATGTCCCAATTGGATCACTACCGGTATATCGGCATCTGTTGCCGGTCTGCCTTTGTTACACTCTGGGTTCTAACCCAGTTCCCTATAAAAGGAGGCTGAGAGCTCTTGTTGGTCGTTTCTTCTTTTATATACTTCTACCTTAATATAATACCATGATTCGCTACAGCATTGGGACATCCGACTGCTTCGCAACACTGTGCGGATCGTTTAATCCATCCGTACGTTGCTCATCCGTACGTCACCTATCCGTACCTCGGATACGGATAACCCTTGCTATAAATAGTCTGACACTCGTCCGTTCATTAAACGAAAGGATCAAGAACAAATATATTCTTTTTCTTTTTCTTCAACCATGCAGCTAGAATTAGGGTAACTGAGATCTATGCAGTGATTATGCTAACTGTGCATAGTTAGGCCCAGCATGCATGAGATTTCTGTTACCACTTCGGTGGGTCCAGTTTTGAGATAAAGAAAAAGATCAAAGAAAAGTATCGTTCTTTCTTTCTAGACCCAGCTATTTATTAGTGGTATCACCATTTACTTTGCCAAAGGATGAAAATGTGCTGGAAATTTTTAATAATCAATTTAAGTTCAGCCGAAAATGAAGCATTTGCACTTGCCTTGTCTATCCAAATCTCTTTAATAAATCTTTCATCAAACCTCCTCAACTCATTCTGAAACTTTTGACCAGCCAGAATAATTTCATTTCCAGATAAATGCACGCCCACCCCTTTTGAAATAAAAATATTGTTGACATTTTCAATTTGATTATCATTTAAAAAAAAGATTCCTAAGTTTTGTAATCTATCCAAGTTCGTAATTTCTTTGATTGTGTTACTAAGAAAGCCTAAAAGTGTTGAATTAGTCAATGCATTACGTCTTTCTATTTTAGAAATTGTATTGCGATTGTGATTTAGTTGATTTAGCTTTTCAAATCCCTCCAGACTCTCACTCTTTGTCAATTTATTATTGTACAATTATAAACTGGTAAAGTGTTTCAAATAGCTTATATTTTTTATTTTGATTATATTATTATTTCCTAAAATTAGCAAATTCAAATTAACCAGCTTGTTCAAGTTCTCAATTTCGTAAATACCACAATTAAACAGCTTCAATTTTTGAGCTTACTTAACTAATCTGAATTTTCAATTTTGGCAATCATATTTCTATATATCATTACTTTCTCTAAATTGACTAACCTATTCAAATTCTGAAGCCTTGTCATTTGGTTTTGTGCAATAAATAACCCTTGGAGATCTGTTAAATAATTAACATTTTCAATTTTTCTAATATTATTGTTGTGGAACGAAATTGTGTTTGAATTGATCAACTGATCTAGATTCTGAGTTTTCGTGATTTTATTATTATTTAACTGAAGGTTTTCTAGATTGACTGACTTATCAAAAGTTTTGATTTTTTTGATATTGCCCTCTACCGAACAAGATTATAAATTAAAACTCAATATACAAACATTCAGATTATCACTTTCATTTTTAATTGCACTAGTTTTGTTACCTAAAATAAAAAAGGTTTATAGATTTTTTACTTTCTCAAAATTTTCAATATTCTCAATTTTGTCAATTAAATTGTTATTTGTATTTAACTGGTTCAAATTTTTCAAGCTATTAAATGGAGCTGAACTTCTGTTTATCATTCTTTTGTTAAGATCTAATACTTCGAGAGTTTTGGTTTTGAAAATGAAAGAAAAATTGTCTTGATTCTACACCAACTGATGTGCAAGTTTTTAAAATTAATCAAAATATCCAAATTATCAACAATTTCTAAATTATCATTGAAACATAAATTTATTATTTTCAAATGAGTTAGTTCGTTTAAATTTTCTATTTTTCTTATTTTGTTACGTGATGAATTTAACGATTTTAAGTTAGTTCAATATTTCAACTCCTATGATGCTCACCAAGATATTCAGGAAGAGAAAAGGAACCTTTGGCCTCTCTCAGGTTGTTCCCTAATGATTTAGTGTCCAGATATAACATCGTGAAATCTCTCCATTTTGGCCTTCTTCAAAATCTCCATCAAAGGCCTCTTTTATTAAAGCCAATTCAAACTCTGCAACCTCCCTTAAGCAGCTCTCTAGCAACTTTCCTTTGAGTTCTGATTTCTTCAATAATCTCAGAAGTAATACGAACAGCTCTTTGAAGCACAATTACTCCAGTACTCTAGATGTATCACTAACCGCCGCTACTAAAATATGGAACGATTCTGAATAATCCATCAACAATCGAAACACCTACACTCAAAACAATTTTTCTCATCAAAGTAATTTTGATTTAATTGCTTTCAACTCAAATAATGCAGTGAAAATCTCAAATAATCCAATCAATATCTCAAAATTATCTCCAAATAATAAACCAAGCATAAATATAAATGATCCTCTTAACTTCAAAATTGATGATTTCACAAATATTTTGGATCTAAAATAAAATTCTTTTCACTGCCCCCTTCAATTCATTAATAGTACAGACTTGAGTACTTAATTGATAATCAAAATGAATAATCTCATTTTAAGAAAAAAGAAAAGTATGAAAATTCCATTTTCAAATAACTTTTAATTAGAACTCAAATATTCTGCATAGCAAAAAAACTTTTACCATTCAACTCTACAATTTAAAATCACAAATTCATTTATTGATTTATATATGATTACAAGTTAGAATAGTAAAATTATTATAAGATTCTGGATAATAGACTATTTTGTTTCGAATTGTTTCATATCGAGTATGATTTCTTCTTTTTTTAACTTGGCTATTTCAAATATTGGGTAAAGCTCATTTTCAAAATCTTTTTCGAGATCGTNAGACTTTTCTCCAAGAAATGTTTTTAAGCTATTTTTGATTTGCTTTTCAAGACAAAAGGGTTTTAATCCCCCGATAAAAATTACATGAGATTGTCGATTTAAAAACATTGAATGATTTTTGTCTTTTCCAGATTGTGTTCTTCTATTCTTGTAAGGTGCATTTTCGCCTTCCATTGAATACAATCCGTTAATACGAATTTGAGGTTTTTCTTTGGCTNTCAATTCGAACCAAAGCCCCAATGGGTAAACAGAAACTGGAATACTTGTGACAAAATTCTTAAACTTCTTTTCAAACATTTGGAAATCCGATTTTACCTCGGCTAAACGATTCTTAATCTGAATACCTATAAAGGTGAATGATTTAGATTCT